GGGGGGGGGGGGGCGGACCAAACTGTAACACCGTGTGTCCCAACCAGACACGACGCGATAAAAAATATATTTTCCTTTTAGTTTTTGTCCTAACCACCCGCGACACGTGACAATAAGTGACATGGGATTCTATTTTAGGAACGTTTTTTATTTTCTGTAACGTCGCGGCAGGAACAACATACAAAATATGACAGTGATAATCTCAAGTAATGATTATGTGCTTTATTCAGTGTTAAAAGTGTCTAATGTGAGTTTGAATATTATTTTGCGTTATCTTTATAGCCATAGTGAAAGCAACAATAGATATTTTACCTCAGATCTTGAAAATAAATGAAAGCAAACTTGTATGTTAAACTGTGAATTCACTGCGAACCAACACGTGTATTCCATAACAAATATATCAGTAACTCACTCACTCAAAACGGTTCAGTCTATTTTCCGTGTCCACTTTTCTTTTCTACACACTCGCCATGTTTTGCTGTCACATCGCATCTACACTGGACGCGACAAAGCATTGCAAATCATTTGAACGTTGTGTCAATACGTTATAAATAGAAAGAGTCAGCAGTTTACTGTCGGGGATTTGTCGTGTCGCGCCGCATCCAAGACAGCATCACTGATTATAACCAGTTCTATTGTATTTTATTGCGTCGCGCCGCGCGCGTCCGGTGTAGACACAGTGTAAGTTAATGCAGCTTTCTGATGCTGCGTTTGAATTTTTAATGCCACATTATTTGAAAATAGCACGGGCCAAACTTTTTTCTCTCTAGGCCGCCTATTGAGGAACCCTGGTTTAATGTAATCTTGAGCAAATATCAAAATGAATATCTATTTTTTTCATACAGGATATTACAATATTTAGACAAAACAGTATCAAATATCAGGTATAGTATAATTCTAGATTTGGATTTATGCATTTGGCAGATGCTTTAATCCAAAGCAACATATATTGCATTCAAGGGAGAGATTTACATTTGATCAGTTCTAGCTTTTCCTTGGCATGCCAAGCTCTAGTTTGAGCTATAGGAATGCATTATTAATTAGTAGTAGTAGCATTAGAATTATTAGCTTTATTAATTATACTAGAATTTGAATATCACTGCATCCCTAATCTCTTTTTTCCAGTGAAGTCTAAACAAAGAAATATACACAGTGATGCAAAACTCAAGACTCCATGTGCTGTAGTGTTCCAGAGATTGAGCTAATACTTATTCTTGTTGTCAACAGAGAGAAGAGGACGCAGAACACCTCGGACAGGTCGAGTACTTCGGGGTGGGGGCTGGTTTCCCCCTCCAGTATTATCCTTACTACGGAAAGCTGCTACAGCCCCATTACCTCCAGCCTCTGGTGGCCGTCAAGTTCCACAACATCACTCCGAATCACGAAATGCGCATCGAGTGTAAAGTATTCGGACAGAACATCGATTACCACGAGAAGGACCGTTACCAGGGACGTTTTGACATCAAAATCACCATCAACTCATGACCTTAGCTATGAAAATAGCACTTTTATTCTGCCCATTTCAAAACACAGTAATTTCAGATGAATAAACAGAGACAACAAGTACAAATTCAATTGGAAAAACAACTACGACAACTAGTCTTGAACAAAGTTTCATAACATACGGGACCTACACTTAATCTGAACGCTTTACACTAGCTTTCTTTGCATGTCTAGGGTTAGAATGTAAATTACAGGAAGAGTAGGAATAGCAAAGTATTTATTCTACTGTAGATGCGAATATTCCGTGAGCCATGGGACATTCATTTATTACTGTAAATTATAATTCCACTACTGATGTAGCGCGCAGTGTTTCTGTCCCCTGAGTATTTCTGCCTAGTGTGGTCTCTTTATATTTTATGGAGTGTGCAGTGCAGTAGTCGCATACGATGGTCTTTTGCAAACCATGTTGTCATTTCTGTTGTCTTATGTGAGAAAGCCTTAGCGGTCCAAGGTGTGTGTGTGTGAGAGAGAGTTTGAGTGTGAATGTGCGTATTCGTCTACTTAAAAACTGAAAATACTGGCATGGTACGCTCTGAACTCCCCAGGTCTGTGTGTGTGTGCACTCCGTTCAAACCTTTCTTTCCATCTTTTCCATTGATTGTGGGGAATATGTTTTTACATCACCTTTTGACTTTTTCTTTGAACTCTTGCAATTTGGGAAACTGGGGCTAATGACAATTCTGTGTAAGGCTTTTATTTTCCTTTACTATTAAGTGTAGAACTGTGTGTCTAGTCTGGAGGACTGAAGTGGCCAGTGGTCACCATGGCAACTCAGTGCATTTAATATTTTTTGTTTTGTTCTGGAGACATCACACGACGTGGTGTTACTTTCTAATGAATGTTTTAGCCATTTTCATGGTGGAAGAATTTTATATTTATGCAGTTGTACAATTTTTTTTCAGCAGGAGAAAGTGTAATGTATGAATCCAAAAACCAAAGTCACTGGTCAAAGGTTGCAAACCTATCAGATGCAAAGCAGTACCCCATGTAATAAGATATTTTGTTTTGTTGTTTAAAGTTCTTAAAAGTCACTGTTGGACATCAGAACACTTGTCAAGAGTTGCATTTGCTCTTGTAATGTTATTTAAATCTGGGTAAGACCTAAGAAGAAATAAATGGACAGACAACTGAGGTATTGTCTTTCAAGTGGTCTTTATTTAAATAACTGCTGGCAAGATGTTTCACACGGTTGCTTCACCCATCTAAAATCTTAAAGAAATACTGGACCTGAAAAACAGAAATTCCCACAATTCATTCCAAGCTTCCATAAGGACACTGACAAAAGATCAAAACCAAGACTAAAATACACACTATAAATGCACTATGTACTATCTGATGTATGAATTTGTCATCCAATTGTCCAACATGGGAGTCCTTTAAGGAAACCTGTGGCAGTTGAAGAACACTACACAATGTTTTGTGCAGAATTTTGCCCTGATTTGTAATCTGTATAGACACTCGTTTTCAAAAGTCGAAGCTAGTCTGCTGACTTTAAGATGTCGGAATTGATAGATTTCAGACAAAATTCTTGTGTATAATGGACGATTTTTTTTTAAGCTTCACACTATGATTCCATCCTGTCGCAGGACATTATAGAACATCATCATCTCATATTCTGAACTGATTTTAGAAAACATGTTTTTTATTTATTTTCATTGCCAGCAACAAGACAAAAATAACTGCTGGCAAGATGTTTCACACGGTTGCTTCACCCATCTAAAATCTTAAAGAAATACTGGACCTGAAAAACAGAAATTCCCACAATTCATTCCAAGCTTCCATAAGGACACTGACAAAAGATCAAAACCAAGACTAAAATACACACTATAAATGCACTATGTACTATCTGATGTATGAATTTGTCATCCAATTGTCCAACATGGGAGTCCTTTAAGGAAACCTGTGGCAGTTGAAGAACACTACACAATGTTTTGTGCAGAATTTTGCCCTGATTTGTAATCTGTATAGACGCTCGTTTTCAAAAGTCGAAGCTAGTCTGCTGACTTTAAGATGTCGGAATTGATAGATTTCAGACAAAATTCTTGTGTATAATGGACGATTTTTTTTTAAGCTTCACACTATGATTCCATCCTGTCGCAGGACATTATAGAACATCATCTCATATTCTGAACTGATTTTAGAAAACATGTTTTTTATTTATTTTCATTGCCAGCAACAAGACAAATGTTTCTGTGTTACCTGAAAGTCTAGTAGACATTTGTGTATGATACCTAGTTTTAATCTGTAAGCAAATCTGTGCAGATTTTAAAAGTCATGTAGTGTATCCCAGCTTTAAAAAGATAGTTCACCCAAAAATTTAAATTCTGTCATTAATTACTTACCCTCATGTCGTTCCAAAGCCGGAAGACCTCCGTTCATCTTCGGAACACAAATTAAGATATTTTTGATGAAATCCAAGACCTCCATAGAGAGCAATGCAACTGAAATGTTCCCAGGTCCAGAAACATAGTAAGGACATCATTAAAATTGTCCATGTAACATTAGTTCAACCGTGATTTTACAAAGCTACGAGAATAATTTTTGTGTGCAAAGAAAACAAAAATAACGACTTTATTCAACAATTCTTCTCCTCCAAGTGACCGTCTTCCGCCATCATTGAAAGTACCACGACACATGCGCATGCATTCCTCTGCTCGTAAACAAGGCTCAGCGCATGTGTCGTGGTACTCTCAATAATGGCGGAGAATGGGACGAGGAGGAGAAGAATTGTTGAATAAAGTCGTTACTTTTGTTTTCTGTGCGCACAAAAAGTATTCTCGTAGCTTTGTAAAATTACGGTTGAATCACGTGGACCATTTTAACGATGTCCTTACTACCTTTCTGGGCCTGGGAACGTTTCAGTTGCATTGCTCTCTATGGAGGGTCAAAAAGCTCTCGGATTTCATCAAAAATATCTTAATTTGTGTTCCGAAGATGAACGAAGGTCTTACGGGTTTGGAACGACATGAGGGTAAGTGATTAATGACAGAATTTTCATTTTTGGGTGAACTAACCTTTCAAGTGCATTAAGAGTCCAATATTTCACACTTCGTTTTTTTCTACTCACACATATTTTTTACAGAAATTGCATAGAATACTGCACAAGTATGTGAATTGGGACAAACCTTATGAGAGTGTTTAAGAAATTACAATGTCTTACATAAAAATAAAAAAAAACCTGTGTTAATTTGAGAAGCACTTTTAGCACTTCATCAGGCCTGAGCATCAGCTCACCACCAGCTTGTTTTACTTTCAAACAATTGACTTTCCCTGAATTGTGCCTGTTACGGCAGCCGGTGTCTGTGCTGGGCCTCTGTGAGGCCTGAGCTCTTGGAATGTCATGGCCGAGTCGGTCAGCAGGCAAATGATTAACAAGGGGGCATTTGTGCTAGAAGGCTGGACAGATCAGGAGTTGTGCACAACAATGACGTCCACCGGGCCAAACCCACTCCTTGGCATAACAATGGCTTATTTTTCCCCCTTCTTCCAAACCGACTCTACCCGCCTGCTTTCTTTCCTGTGAGCCGGGCTGTGGGTCTGCCTCGGCCCTCTGCGGACAGTCATGAGACCTGGATGCCATTTTGTTCTGGGCTTCATAAGCATTTGTGGAATCCAGAAATATTTTTAAAGGCGAGCAAACTTCCTCAAAATGAGACTGAATACAAAACGTGACTGTGTGGCTCTTGCATAACATTTGAATGATATTTGTTTGAGCTCACCTCCAGAATCCCGTCTTCCGGTAGGTCGGTGCAGTGAATGGCATTCTGCACTTTGTTTTTGCCGTAGAGCGCTCGTAATGTGGTGGGCCGAAGGTGACGTGCAATTTCCTGTGTGGAAAGAGAACATGTTAGTAACGTGATGACAGCTCTGTGATGGGTTACAGTAAGAACAATGGAGCATATGCTTTGAACAGGGTTTCCTTGGTAGAGCAACTGGATAAAAGCACAGGTGACGAGGCATGTGCTGTGATGGTTACTCATGCTCAACGCTGCTGCGAGATCACATAACGTCACATTCTATCCAGGGAATCAGGTTACTCACACATGCTTGTTCACATTACTGCAAACATCAGCTTCCTAAACAGTCCTCTTTTGAGTCACTTGGGAGTCACACAAAAACTCAACAAAACAACAACAAAAACCTTTCAGCTTAAACTCAAACTTAAAGGGATAGTTCACCCAAAAATGAAAAGTTTACCATCATTTACTCACCGTCATGTTCCAAACCTGTATGAGTTTCTTTCTTATGTTGAACATATAAGAAGATATTTTGAAGAATGCTGGTAATCAAACAGTTGACGATCCCCATTGACTTCCATAGTGTTTCTTTCCCTACTATGGAAGTCAATAGGGACCAACAAATGTTTGGTTCTTCGAAATTCTTCAAAATATATTCTTTTGTGTTCCAAAACTATATGAGTTTCTTTCTTCGTTGAGTACAAAAGATTATGTTTTTAAAGCGGTTTTGTCTCGTCCTGCTGGGAGACGGCATCACAGTATGTTAAGGGGCGTAACATTTCCATCACACATTTGAGGCATTCGGCCAATCACAACGCACTGGATAGCTGGCCAATCAGAGCACACCTCGCTTTTTTAGAACGTTGAGGTTTGTAAAAATCTACGCATTTCAGAAAGGTGGGGCATAGAGGAGCAACAATAATGTACATTATATGGAAAATAATGTGTTTTTTTAACCTTAAACCGCATAAACACATTGCGTTACACCAAATACACAACATAATGTTCTTTTTAGCAACGCCATATGGCCCCTTTAATAATGTTGGTAACGGAACATTTGATGGAAGCCTTCGACCGGAAATCAGTGGCTACTGTCAACTGTTTGGTTCTTGAAAACATCTCCTGTGTTCAGTGGAAGAAAGAGACTCGTATAGGTTTATAAAGACATGGAGCTGAGTAAACGATAACAATTGTAATTTTTGGGTGAAAATTCACCACTGACAAGACAGGCTGTTAATAATGTAATGGGTTTTATTGGTTTTGTCTCGTCCTGCTGGGAGACGGCATCACAGTATGTTAAGGGGCGTAACATTTCCATCACACATTTGAGGCATTCGGCCAATCACAACGCACTGGATAGCTGGCCAATCAGAGCACACCTCGCTTTTTTAGAACGTTGAGGTTTGTAAAAATCTACGCATTTCAGAAAGGTGGGGCATAGAGGAGCAACAATAATGTACATTATATGGAAAATAATGTGTTTTTTTAACCTTAAACCGCATAAACACATTGCGTTACACCAAATACACAACATAATGTTCTTTTTAGCAACGCCATATGACCCCTTTAATAATGTTGGTAACGGAACATTTGATGGAAGCCTTCGACCGGAAATCAGTGGCTACTGTCAACTGTTTGGTTCTTGAAAACATCTCCTGTGTTCAGTGGAAGAAAGAGACTCGTATAGGTTTATAAAGACATGGAGCTGAGTAAACGATAACAATTGTAATTATTGGGTGAAAATTCACCACTGACAAGACAGGCTGTTAATAAAAGAAAGAAAAAGAAAGAAAAAAAGAAAGAAAAAGGTGCTGAATAGAAGACAGAAAAAAGCCCTGTTCTTTTTTTGCCAAAAACTTCAACACGCATAATGCAATTGAGCTTTTAGCGCCACCCTTCTGTTGATCCTACTGTCTGTGGGCGGGAATACCAAAATGTGGAAGCTTGATTTGTAGTTTTTACAAAAGCCCTGGAGTTGTCAAAAATCTGTCATTATGTGTCATCCAGTGGACTTTTTCCTGACAAATAAAAAAGGATATTTGAGTGAAGGTAACGTGTAGAAAGATTCCACATTGTTTATTTACATTTACAGTACTACCAACATTGTAACTATTATTATTAACCTTTATTTAACCAGGCAAGTCACTCTTGTTTACAACAACAGCCTGGCAATACAAAGCTGGTAGAAAATTGATGAAATTCTAGTGTTAAAACGAAAGCAACAATTTTCACTTGAAACATTTAAGGTGCAGTCTCATTTACTGTTATTTAGTAAAATTTCAGAAGGGAAATCCAGTCATTCCAACAGGAATAAATTACTGTGAGTTTCGCGTGATGGCTGAAAAGTTTCCCACACAGATTTTGCTCATGTTCAAGTTGGTCACACAAATTTACCACACTGACCAACAGAAAGCAACTTCCATGTGAGATGTGCTTCATACATATCTATGCTATTGACAATGGACCTGTTTTTGCACACAAAATTTCACTAAAATCTTGTAAGTCGCACCTTTAAAATGACAGCGTAATTTTTTTATTTAGACAAAATACTTGTCGAATTTTAATTTTTTTAGACTATCAGGGAAAACAATTGTATGTAATCAGCCCCTAAAAAGTGCATATTAGTTTCTCAGAGTAGTACCTTTGTACCCTTAAGTTACTATTATTAACCTTTTTTTCAATAATATCAAAATAATGATCCCAAATGAAAATCGTTGGTAAGTCGTGGCCTTGGTTAGAGAGTCGGACTCGTAACTCGAAGGTTGTGGGTTCGAGTCTCGTACCGGCAGGGGTTGTAGGGGGGGGGGGGGAATGTACAGCACTCTCCCACCTTCAATACCACGACTGAGGTGCCCTTGAGCAAGGCACCGAACCCCCAACTGCTCCCCGGGCGCCGCAGCAAACAAATGGCTGCCCACTGCTCCGGGTGTGTGTTCACGGTGTGTGTGTGCACTTTGGATGGGATAAATGCAGTGCACTAATTCCGAGTATGGGTCAACATACTTGGCCACATGTCACGTCACTTTATTATTATTATTATTTTTAAATAAGTTCATTCAGAACTGTGACATTATCTGTGTGAAACCCAACCTTCTGTGTTAATTTCTCTGGGCAAGCTCATCTCAACCTGACATTAACACCAGGTTGGCAAAGAACAGGCTGCTCTGGGCATGCTGTCATCTTGCAAAAAACAGCGAAGCGGTAGCAGAGGAATACAAGACATGAAAGACTCAGTCAGGACTTCAGACACAAGCAACAAAATGGGACTGATGTAGTTGAGTGTAACGGTATTACAAAGGTGCACAGATGTTAAACAAATACTCCTCCCCTGCCACTACAGCGTGACAGAAGTTCAAGGGGTCTCGGCTGAGTTTACTTTGAGTTTATATTTCACTGCCCTTTCAGCAGAATGTTGGACTAATACCACGTCTTGACTTTAATTCACGCTCACATGTGTTTCTCATTCAGAGCTCAGCTGGCCAACTGGCTAAGGCTAAAATGGAACGTGATGAAATGAAATGTTCGCAGTTTATATTTCACTGCCCTTTCAGCAGAATGTTGGACTAATACCATGTCTTGACTTTAATTCACGCTCACATGTGTTTCTCATTCAGAGCTCAGCTGGCCAACTGGCTAAGGCTAAAATGGAACGTGATGAAATGAAATGTTCGCGAGGACACAAACCCCGGCGGCTCTACTGTCCTCTGCTAATCTCTACCAGTAGGAAATATAACTCCCAATCATCGCCCATGAGGGACGGGTTATCTACATGTAAATAAATTGGCTTTCCTTAGCCACACCCTTGAACCACACATTTCAAACAATAAGGGAGTATTAAGCGACCACACATTGTCATGAGAGAAAGTCTAAGGGAAAATTAGTGTTTTGGTTTCAATAAAGAGCATTGTGTGTAACATATGATTTCCTTTCTTAAGCTTTGGCATATTTAGAGAATCTTGCTGGTTAGTTATTATCTTTATATCTTGTTGACATCGAAAAAGGAACACGAAGACAACTAAATCCTTCCCTTCTTTAGTTTTATCTACATATAATGTCTACTTTTGATTACTTTAAAACAAGACGTTTTAAAACGTTAGCAAGCTTCATTCGTTTCTTAGTAATGAGTCAGTTCAAAGTGACGATACAGGCACATCCTCATTTGATCAAACACATGACTAACAAACATCTCTCAGGATTTAAAAAAAAAATCATGAACAGTTTGTGCAGGCAATACTGGCAGAGACGAAATGGCAACAAAAGAGAAAAAAAAATTAAATTCAAATGCAACAAAGGGTGCTAGTATAGCAATAAGAAAAAAGGGTAACACTTTAAGGTGTCTTTGTTACACGTTACATGTATTATAATAATAAATTATGCATAATTACATGCAAGTAACTCTAAACCAAACCCTAATCCTAACCATATACAGTAGTAATGTATTTAATTAATATTACTCAGTACTTAAATGTATAATTATACTGTAACAAGGACACCTTAAAATAAAGTGCAACCAAAAAATTACTATATAACATGGTACTTTAGTAGTTTATCATCTAGAACTGTAATAAACATCAAAGTACCATGGTATTACCATCTGATTTACCGTATTACCGCCACCACACTTTTTGAAAGAGTTCGAAAGTTTGGTTTCAGTATGATTTTCGATGATGTTGAAGTCTCTTCACCAAGCCTGCATTTATTTGATCACAAACACAGTAAAACAGTAATATTGTGAATAATATTAGAATATTATTTCAATAAAATAAAATGTGCTGTTAATAAAAGAAAGAAAAAGAAAGAAAAAAAGAAAGAAAAAGGTGCTGAATAGAAGACAGAAAAAAGCCCTGTTCTTTTTTTGCCAAAAACTTCAACACGCATAATGCAATTGAGCTTTTAGCGCCACCCTTCTGTTGATCCTACTGTCTGTGGGCGGGAATACCAAAATGTGGAAGCTTGATTTGTAGTTTTTACAAAAGCCCTGGAGTTGTCAAAAATCTGTCATTATGTGTCATCCAGTGGACTTTTTCCTGACAAATAAAAAAGGATATTTGAGTGAAGGTAACGTGTAGAAAGATTCCACATTGTTTATT